CAATAAATATCTAATGATTTTATTCACTTAATTATTTACACGTACTTTTTTATTTAAAAAAAAAACAACGCGTAGGTATCTCTATGACATATTTTCACATAAAAAAGTAAAACAAAACATTCCTACATTAATTGCATGTAATATGAGTGACATGATTACAGCTTTACCACCTGAACGCATACAAACCCTACTAGAAAATGAAATGTATGCTTTTAAGTGTCTATTTTTGAATTCAAAAGGTTATCACTAGTTTTTTAATTATTTTTTCTCAAATACAAAGAAACCGTTTACGAATAACTCGCACATCTGGATTGGACCATCAAGATTCAATAGACGAGGTAGAATTTTTAGGTTACGAATCAGAAAATTTTAAGTTTGAGCATCTGGAAAACGAAGTTGTATTTGAAAAATGTTCCGTCAAGGAAGGTGAAATTGAAGTAATTAAAGAATGGATTGTAGATACATTTCAAAGAAAATAAAGAATTCTTTCGATGTATAAATTTGTTAGTAAAAGTTTATGAAGAGATGTACAACGAATGTATAATGTTTATTAAGTGAATAATAAATTTCACTAATACTAAATTATAAAATAGACATAATCAATCTTAATTACTAAACACAAAAATGTTAAAGCATTTTATTTTATTTTTTGCTTTTTAGCTGATTAATTTCCCTTTTAATTTCACTAATACTAAATTATAAAATAGGCATAGTCAATATTAGTTACCAAACACAAAAATGTTAAAGCATTTTATTTTATTTTTGCTTTCTAGCTGATTAATTTCCATTTTAATTTCACTAATACTAAATTATAAAATAGGCATAGTCAATATTAGTTACCAAACACAAAAATGTTAAAGCATTTTATTTATTTTTTTTGCTTTATAGCTAATTAATTTCCCTTTTAATTATTATACGCCAAATGGGGATCGCCGTTGTCGTTCATAACTTCATCGTCAGCGTTTATAAAATCAAAAACTAAACCCGTTGAATCTTCTTGATATGCAGTATCAACCACATTAAGAATAGGATCCCCCATATAATTAGATTCATTACTAAGAATAGTATTACTCGTAAATGGTGAATGGCCCACCATATTCGGATCTCCGGGCATGCCCGGAACACCAGCTTGATTTAAGTACCCCTGAATTTCACTATCAACAACACCACCAGAACCAACAATTCCCTCAATGCTATTATTGCTATCTATTAGTTCATTGCTGTTAGCTCCTACTAATGATCCATCAAGATTGTATTGAAGTTCTTTAGATCCGCTGCCCAATTGTTCGCCTGTCGATGAAATTGGGTTTATTAAATGATCTTCTATATCTATTTCTTCATCTATTTCGTCTAATTCATCATCATCATCTTGCATCATATCATGTTGATCATTCTCATCCGTTTCAGAATCCGGCGCATTATGTATTTGAACCAGTGTCACATGATCATATGGTTCAATGATAAAATCAGATTCTTTTTCTATCG